AAAAAAAAAACGATACAACACAAATTGCAGACACCAATACTAAGAGCATTAGGAGTAATGAGTGATCTTGCAAAAGGGTTACTCTGGCAGGTTTCCTAGAGAGGTGATTCAAGCTCTAAGAAGAAGGGCAAGTGAGAAGAGTAAGTTGAGGCTGATGAGAGAGTATTAACTTAGACTAAGTAAAAAGGGAGAAAGCAGGTGATGAAAGGCTTAAGTCAATCATTCTCAACCTCAATACAGTGAATTTCAAACTTTTTTGATTGTGACCCATGTTATGAGAAATACATTTTAAATCACAACCCGATACACGATATATAAATAGATATATACATATATAAATTAAAACAAAAACTTTACAAAAATACCCTTACTGCGTATGTTCTGATATTTTCTATTCTCTTCTAGTTCGCTTTTATAAAATGCTGGTCATAATCCAGTGTATGCTGATTTTACAATCTGCTATTGTCACTACTCACAATTTGAAAAACTTTGCTTTTAAAGAGTATAGGAACTATTTGAGATACCTGTCTAAAGTATAGATTCCCAGGTTCCACCTCTACAAAGTCAGGATCTGTAGGCCTGGGGTAGAAGCCAGGAATCTACAATTTTAATAATCACCTCAGGTGATTCTGACACAAACGATCCATCTACATAAACCATGTTTTAAGAACCACTGGCTATTGAGCAAATTTTAGTTTGCTTGATTACATCATAAATGATTTATTTTTTGCTTTACAACTATTTTTTTCCCATGCACAGACTCATATACCTGTACACATAAGCATTTATACTTGTATATGCACAGACTATTTCTGGAATGAATCATAAGAAATTGGTAACAGATGGATATTTGAAACTCCAGCTCAGCCTCTTACCAACTGTGTGACCTAAGCCACAATCTCTCTGAGTCTTACTTCCTTCACCTATAAAGTGAAGTAAGGGACGTAATGAAGTATGAATATATGTAAAGCATATAGCACATATTACTGATTCCCTTAAAAAAAAAAGGCAGCTATTACTATTAAGGGATAAGAGATAAATATAATATGTCTTCAGCCATGAAATGACATGATCAAAGTAATATTATAGGCCAATTATTCCAATTGTTATGTTCAATATAGTAAAAGAATAATGGAGAAAAAGGAAATAGGAACCCTCATATACTGTTGGTGAGAGTACAGATTGGTTCTCTGGTGACAATTTAATACTACAAAATTTAAAAACATGTCTCTTATGACCCAGTAATTCTACTTAATCCCACCAGTTCTACTTAGAGAAGTACACAAAGATTTTTGCATTACAATGTTCTCTGCAGAATTATTTTTAATCACAAAAAAACCCCCAAACAACCAAAGTGTTTATCAATAAGGGACTAGTTAAATCAAATACAGCATACATATGATGAAATATTATGAAGCCGTTCAAAGAAACAGATATTTAGATCTCTTTGTGCTGTTAATAAACATCTTCAAAAGTATATCATTAATGCCTTAAAAAGTTAAACATAGAATTGCTATATGACCCAGCAATTCCACTTCTGGGTATATACCCCCCAAAATTGAAAACAGGTGTTCAAAAAACACTTGTACATGAATGTTCATAGCAGCACTATTCACAATAGTGCAACTCAAATGTCTATCAACTGATAAATGTATAAATAAAAGGTGGTATAGCCATACCACACAACATTATTCAGCCATAAAAAGGAATGATGTACTGACACATGCTACAATGTGAAATGAACTTTGAAAACATTATGCTAAGTGACACAAAAGCCACAAATTGTATGACTCCATTTACATAAAATATCCAGAAGTGCCAAAACCATACGGGCAGACTACAAATCATTAATGATAAATTTTATGTTATGTGTGCACAACAAAAAAAAGGATTTAAATATATATAAGTAGTGTGTATATACATACATGCACATTTCTCTTGGTCCTGGGGGTCTCAGGAGGCAGGACTACACATAGCCTCTGCCAGGAGTCCCTCAGGGAGTAGGGCCACACGTAGCCCTGCCAAGAGAGTGCAGCGAGGTGAGTTGCTCAGGGCACGCCTTGAGCTAGGGGCTGTTGCCTGGGAGGTGGGCAACCAGAAACCAGACACAAAGTTCTGGGACTTAGCACATGCACTAAGCAACTTTATTGTCTACAGGCATGCATTATATATGTTTTAGTCAGCTGTGAGCCCCTCCCATACCTCCCCCGTCTCCTAGGCAACTCAATAGGAAGTCTGTGGTTTGCAGTTAAGCCTTGAGAATTCTTGCTGACCCAGTCTATTTGCATTTCTGCTGACACAGTCTAAATCCTGGAGAGCAAGAGTGCCTCCATCTTTAATATGTGTTCTCCTTCATTTTCCTCCACATACATATACTATATACTATGTACAATATATACATATATACAATTAAGTGTAAAAAACAAGCACAGAACCAGTTCCCCCAAGTCTGACTCCTGAAGCAACTAATATTAAGTTTCTTAGTATTTCTCCAGATTCAATCTATACATACAAAAGCATAACTGTTCGTGTACACATATATGTACAAGTGTATTTGCATGCTTATACACATTGATACACATGTATATCCCTCTCCAAAACGTTATAGTAGCTATTAAAAAAAAGTCCAAATGGAGCAAAGTACAACTCTAGGACGATCAGTCAGTTGTAATCATCTATGCACATCATCATCGGGCTTTACTAAAATTTCCAGATAAGCTTTAATTCCCAAAATTATTAACGTACTTCTCTGTATCATAGAATATACTTACAAGATGTTAGTTAACATTACACTTAAAATTAGTTCACGTAACAGTAATTACATTAAGTGCTATCAGAAATGTACAAACAAAATTAATAGGGGGAACATGATAGTTACTCCCAAGATGATGTATGCTCATTCAACTTCAATAGATAATTACTGAGTCCCTACCTGGTGGCAAGCATCATGCACTATACATCTATTCCAAGGATTCTATTCTTTCAATTATCTCAAGCAGTGGTTATTAATGGTTAATGAGACACATGAGAAGAAACAATTTCCTCAGGTCCTAAATGGCTTCACAACCTCTAGAGTTCATGTACTAAAGAGTCTCCTGAAGTAATGTGGAAGAGGTAAGAGGTCCCTTAAGAACTTCACGACCCGGAAATGATAGGCACAAGAGACTATCCAGGTTCCCAAGGGATCCTCTGCATGAAGCCTACAAAGGGATCATTAAAGCAACTACAGTACTCTTTCTAAGAGAAGGAAAATGAACTCATTGTATCCTACAGGGTTCAAAGGATTACTAAACTACTACATCCAATTTTTATAAACAATAGGTATAATCTCAACTTTTCTAACCACTGTTTTTAGTACATCCAGGCTTGTGAGACTATGTCTTTATATACTATTTGAAAAATATGGTCAAGGAACACAGGGAACCTAAGGAATGGCAAAGGAAAGCCAAACAACTATAGCATGTTATATATCTGACCTTACCTATGACCTTGTAGAAAGGCTTTAGAAAATATGTTTACTCCAGTTCAATGGCCTCCTTTTTTTTTGGATCATGCATCTCTGGTAGTAAAATATTTTCAACCCATATCCCCAAATATAGAATCTGTCCATAAATATGTCTGTACGAATAATATTACATATATTTTGAAATACATGCACATTTTTTAAATTAAAAGTAGAAAAAATAACTTTTTAAACATTTTAAATTTTATTTATTGATAGAAAAATGCTTTTTGTTCTTATTAAAACTTATTATTATTATTTTTTTATTAAAAGATGACCGGTAAGGGGATCTTAACCCTTGACTTGGTGTTGTCATCACCACGCTCAGCCAGTGAGCGAACCGGCCATCCCTATATGGGATCCGAACCCGGGGCCTTGGTGTTATCAGCACCGCACTCTACCGAGTGAGCCACGGGCCGGCCCCTTATTAAAACTTATTTTAACAATATATTTCTAGTAAAAGCAACGTGAATTGAGTTTTTTTTCCTTAATGTTGGTTTGACATTTTGCTATATACCAAGAGGTAGGTATTATCCCCACTTTACAGATGAGAAAACTCAACTTGGCGAGATAATATATTCTGACAAATGTCAGAGCTATAATGTAGCAGAGCTAGGATGAAAACCTCTATCTGTTAAACTTTAAAAACAGTGCTCTTAATACATTCTAAGAAAGGAAGCAATCAGAGAAAACAAATGTATCCTGAGATGTAAGTCGGTGACAAAGAATAAATCCTTCTGACCAATTTGAATGAATCTGCATGTTATTTGCTTGTTTGACTCTTGTTAATATAATCAGTTACAATCTCTGTATAACTTTGGGGAAGTCACTTACCTTATTTGAATTTTAGTTTTCACATATGTAAAATGAGGGACTTGGACTAGATGATCTTCAAGGTGCTTTTTAGCACTAAAACTGTAGGACTTAAATACAAGAGCAAATAAGACAAACATCTTTAAGCAGAATAACAGACCTTTGCTGATCTCTACATTAGGCAGGTTGAAGATGTCAAGGTCCATTGTGCCTCCTTTAGTCCCTTCTGAGAGGT